TACGGTTCTCCACACACGGTATATATATATATATATATATATATATATATATATATATATATATTAAATAAAAAAATAAAATGTACTTTTAAGTAAAACTTTTAATTTGACACTAGTTAGTTATTAGTATTACAAAATGAGCTTTGTAAAAGTGCACTTAAAGGGTTAGTTCACCCAAAAATGAAAATTACCCCACAAAAACCCCACAGGAACCAGTTGAGTCCTCTGCTCAATGTGACTTTGCTGCAGCCTGGAATTGAACTGCTGGTTTCATCTGGCCAGAGGAGAACTGGCCCCCCGACTGAGCCTGGTTTCTCCCAAGGTTTTTTCTCCATTCTGTCACCAATGGAGTTTTGGTTCCTTTCCTTTGTATTAATGACACACTATTTTCCTAATTAATGCTGTACAAGTTGCTTTGACACAATCTGTATTGTTAAAAGGACTATATAAATAAATAAAGGTAAAAATAAAAAATTTGGTTACTCACCCTCAAGGTTTCTTCTTTCAGATGAATACAAAAAAAAGTTATATTAAAATACTAGCTCTTCAAAGCTTTATAATGGCAGTGAATGGGGGTTCAAGATTTTGAAGCCCAAAAAAGTGCATCCATCCATCTTAAAAAGTACTCCACATGGCTCCGGAGGCTTAATAAATGCCTTCTAAAGTGAACTGATGCGTATGTGTAAAAAAAATATCCATATTTAAAACTTTATAAACTGTAATCTCTGGCTTCAACTAACTGTTGTGTGCATGTTAACGAGAGAGTGGCATCCAGCGGAGGATGTAGGAACGTGGTGATGAACGTGGAAGCACAGTGTAGAGAGCAAAACACCAGTCACAAATTAGAAGTACAAAACAAGGATTTGTAAAGACAAATGTCAGAGGATTTCGATATAAACAAAGAGGAGACCTTTTCCTTTGCTGTAAACAAAACTTGGTTTTCGAGAGACTAGCATATTCTCACCGGAGCTTATGCTACGCCTACGTCTTACGTCATCCACTGGAACGCCATTCTCTCATGAAGGTGTGTACGACATTTTTAATATGGATGTTTTTCTTACACAAATGCATCGATTCACTTCAGAAGGTGCTGTGTGGAGCAGTTTTAATGATGGATGGGTGCATTTTTTGGGCTTCAAAATCTCGACCCCCATTCACTGCCATTATAAAGCTTGGAAGAGCCAAGACATTTTTTTATATAAATCTGATTATATTGGTCTGAAAGAAGAAAAACATATACACCTAGGATGACTTGTGGGTGAGTAAATCATTGGGTCATTTTTATTTTTGGATGAACTATCCCTTTAAGCGTGCTCGGAAAGTGTACTCTATCTTTAAGTACACTTAAATGACATTTTATTTAGCTAATATTATCTTTTCTGCAAGTACAATATTTAAAATATATACTTTTGAAATTTGAAGTACACTATAAGTGCACATTTAATGCAATATTAAGAAAACTACTTTTTCACAAGGGGGCCTAGATCTGAAAATCTCCCTCACCAAATAGTTTAATATGCTAGCAAGGAAGTACTAGAGGAAAACAGGAGGAGAAGAAAATATAAAGGACAGAGGCGCAAACCTGTGTGTCTTCTCTGGTGTCTTTTTAGCTGGTCTGATCTGGAGAACCTGCGACCACAGTCTGTGAAGTCACACTGATAGGGTTTCTCCCCTATGAGTTTAATACAGCCAAACATGTTAAAGTTAATCTTAGCATTTGTGCTAATGGTATCCATTAATATTTGTGGGTTGTCTTACCTGTATGTTTACGGCTGTGCATCTGTAAGTGAGATAGTTTAAAGTATCTTTTGTTGCAGCCCGGGTAGGCGCACATAAATGGCCTTTTTTCGTTGGTTTCGGATGAACGCACAATGGCGGGTGTAATGCCCGGTACTCTCCGCACATCCTGTGAGAAAGTCAAAAACATTCAATTCATGCTACAACAAACGCTGCGCAGCGAACAAGACATCCAAACCGAGCGTTCATGGGGAAAACTGCTAATGATTAGCTTGTCCAATCGGTTCATTACTGCAGAATTAGCTGTGAAATGATCATTTGGATTTCCCCATGCTACTGATATGAGCTCTAACTGTGAACGGTTAGTCACAGACATTAGACAGACCCTATTTCGCTGCTTCACTCCCTCCGTTCCTCCCGTTTCCCTCATTTGCACACTGCTAAAACCCATCTGCTCTTAATTAACTAGCGCTTAGCATAATGGCGTTTCCGTACGCTGGCACGGTAATGAAAGAGTGTTAAGTGTTATTGATAAGTAAATTATTGAAACTGTTCTACGGCTATAGTGCCAGACTTATATATTGACCCCACGGGGATGATAACACAGCAGGCTAGGCAGTACAGCTCAGTGCCTAGCATGCTACGCTTGATTTGTTTGTGACAGTTAAGTTCAGATTAGCTGTCTGTAACCATAAATTTTAACTAATGTTTTGTATGCATTTTCGTACATATATCTATTGTTCTAGCTATCAGACTGTCTGGCCGTTTGCTGTTTTTCTACCTGACATTCTATCTATCTATCTATCTATCTATCTATCTATCTATCTATCTATCTATCTATCTATCTATCTATCTACACTGCAAGTTGACAAGTCATTCTAAGTTGCCTTCATGCATTTATACAATGAAGAGGGAAGAATAAACAGAGAAGTGAAGAACGGCATCCCATTTTAAGCAAGAGCAGCTCTGGAGTATCTCTTCTTTTACAGCTTTAAGGCCGCTGACAGACATTAATTAAGAGCTAATGATTTATATGCATGAGCAGCAGGCAACTGGAAACTGCAGCTTTACGGCTAATGGACTTTTTTAAGTGATTCCTCTTCGCTTTTCATCCTGAAATGCCTTTCAAATCTCTCAACTATTCTGGCAGGGGCCTGCTTCCTCTCGCATAGCGTTCTCATTGCGTCAGATGGTTTTCTTCAGCACCTTCTTTTTTAATTACATTTGTCTTTTTTTTAGGCACTGTGTCACTTCTAAATCTCAGGTTTTTTGGATTATACATAATTTTAGCAAGTTGTATAATCAACCTTTTGATTAAGGGTTGTGTGTGAGGTGTTTGTCTGTGTCAGTGTGTCTTTGTACGCCATGGCCTGACCTTGGCCCGATGTGAGTACATCCCAAGAGCACAAAGAATCTTAGTGTCCTGAGAGTGAACTCAAATGAGCTGTGAGCAAGAGATACTGACCTGAAGGCCTCTGAAGACACCATGGGTGTGGATGCGGTACTGCCTGCTGCAGCTGTAGACCATGGGTGTGCTGGGGTCACTCTCATAGCCTCCTGCATGGCTGTTTGTGATTAAATAGGAGAATATTTTGTTAATGTGATCAGATGGAATAAAGTAAGCTTATTCAAAAAAAAAAAGGAAATGCAATAAATTTTTCTAGCTATAAGTATAAATCTTGTGATTTTATTTGTTTTTTAGTTTTGTGCTTAAAACAAGAAAAACATTGCCAGTGTGGTAAAAAAAAAATCACTTCTGTTTAAAAGGGCTCAATAATTTTTTTTCCCAGCAAGGATGCATTAAATTCAACATTTACAGTGAATACATTTATAATGTTACCAAAGATTTCTATTCATCAGAGAATAATGAAAAATAATGCATCGTGTTTCCACAAAAATATTAAGCAACACAACCATTTTCAACATTGATAAGAATAAGAAATGTTTCTTGAGCAGCAAATCAGCATATTAGTATGATTTCTGAAGGATCATGTGGCACTGGTGATTGGAGTAATGATGCTGAAAATAAATTACATTTTTAAAATGTATTAAAATAGACAAGTCATTTTAAACTGTAATATTTCACAATATTAGAGTTTTTACTGTATTTTTCATCAAATAAATGCAGCCTTGGAGAGCATAAGAGACGTATTTCAAAAGCATTTAAAAGCAACCCCAACATTTTAACATACTGTAGTGTATATTAAAAACAAGTCATTGTATCAAATATTTTTACTCAAAAATAAAAAAAAATTTACAAAATGATTCGATTTTTTAATAATGTAAAAAATTTTCAAATTTAATATATATTTAACGAACAAACTTTTAGTTTTAAACTGATATGGTACTATAACTAGAATAAAACGTTGATGCATGTAAAACATCAACAATTGCTCCACGCAACTGTTCACAAAGTGTAATTCTACTTCATAACTTTCTCATTTTTGCGCAACAGCAGATGCAGTCCTTCCTTAATCTCTCCATGCATTATTGCATTAAGTTTGGATGACATACAGAGGGCATTGCTAGCCATAAAATACACAGAGTCATGTCTTTGTAACTCATCTTGACATTGGGGCAAATTGCTCCGTTTCAAAGAGCAATATTTTTGCCCTAAACATTTGAGGTAGGGCCAGTCAGAGAGATGAATGGGGAATGTATGGTCTTGCTCACTGTTGAACTTGTGCCTGAACCTCAGCGGTATGGCTTTTTACGTCACGCTGTAAATAAACGTTTCTCAGGACAATTCTACACCATGTTTCTCCGCTTTGGAGAAAAGACCACACATTATGGAAACTGTTTTTCGTTACTATGCAGATCTTTCCCAAAATTTCACGAATTTAGGTTCATGCGGTATAAAGTTCTCTTTGTCTGACCAGCCAGACAGAAAAGACAGTCCAAAACAGCATCCTGCAGTAAATCTTCTCACAGTTCATTCATTCACCCAAGCCGAACCACCTTGGGCTTGCGACAAGCATGGGATTTGGAGGTATGTGAAGAGCTATAGCTAGTTGGCCGTGAATAGGAATGATTAAGTTTGTCTTGAGGAGCCACAGCAACGCTTCCATGGCAGCCCCCTTGAGATCGATCAGCGTGTCTGATTTTTCCTCAACTGAAACCAGCCCCATCCCTCTCATTTATCAGCATATGAATCATTCCGTCATCCAGGGCTCCTCAGACTCTTTCAGGGAGGCTGGGGAGAGGTCACAGCCTCCTCCCAGCCTGGCCGAACATGACTGCGGATTCTCGCTCGGGTCCCAGGGGGAGTAGAGGCTGTCCCATTGTGCACTAATGCACTTCCACCTCCCCCCTGCGCGGCTCCCTTCCTCCCGGCGGGCCGGCGCTCGGTCTGGTCAAGGCTGAGGTGCCACTGGCAGAAATATATGGCAGGATATCGTTCTCTAGCCAGACAAAACAGAGGCTTATTCTGCATGTGCACACTCAACTCTCTGGCACAAACAGAAAGATGAAGAAAGTTGTGGAGAATAGATTTTTAGATTGAGTTTTTCAATATTAAATATGCAGACACGACTATAAGAACATCTACAGGTTGATTTTACCGAAAAGTGCACAACCGCAACCGGATCTTGTGAGAAAACTAGAATGTTTTTGTATATTTATTTTTTGCCATTTTTGCCTTTATTATGATGCGGGAGAGAGAGAGAGGAGGCAGGACCGGGAAAGGTCTTCAAGCCGGGATTCGAACTCTGGACGCTCATAGCACAACAGCGCTACATGTTGGCGCACTGCCCACAAGCTACCTGCGCCGATGAAAACTAGTATTTTATAGGTTGGTTATCTAGTATGAATTAGTACAATGTGTGTCGCATGAAAATTAACAATTTTTAGAAAAAAGTACACACAAAGCTCCACCCCTAACCCCACCGCTAAATGAATCATATGATTGTTGATTCAGTAGTCATTCGTTCAATTGGATTGCACTAGCTGCGCTGTATGTTTCTGATTCGCAAAAAGGTAATGGCTCATAAGAGTCATTTGTTTGGGAATCAGACAACAGTGTTTGCACTATATCTTTTTGATTCACTATCGGGAATCAGAGTAAACTGGTTGTGCTGTAATATACTACAAAGAACCGACTCCCATTCACAAGAGGCAATTTTTGAGAATCGGACTATACTGATGAGGTATTAGTTTCACTAAAATGAAGCAGTTTATTAGAGTACCTGTAATCTATAATCAGTAACTGTGATTACATTGATAAAGCTGTCTGTTTTGCACTGTTTATTCAGTTGAAGAAGTAACGCAGAAAACTCATTTACATTTAAGTACGGTATTCTGCAAGAATGGTGAACATCACTCAGTTCTGCTATTTAAAAAAATGGAACCAGTTCTTAAAAAGAAAGAACCGCTTCTTAATTCTGACACCTATTGTTTTATCCAACCAATAACAGAAGTTTGGGATGAGCGTTAAAGAAACCTCTCAGTATTTTTGCAATTCTTATTGGTAGCGCTAGAGGTGCAAAAATTCCACATTTCACCTTAAAATAAACGTTTAAAGGCCTGTTCACACCAAGAACGATAACTATAAAGATAACTATATTAGCGTCCAGACAAGTGGACGATATTGTCTATTTATTCTAAGCGCATGCTCATCTGCCACTTAAAATCCTCGAGCTCGTTATAGCAGGATTTATTCTGATTGGGTGTCAATGTTTTTATCGTTGATCAGCTGGGGAAAAAATTGTTTTGAAAGTGATTCCAACGATATAATTTCTCTGTGCCATTATCATTATCAGTGTTGGGGAAAGTTACTTTTAAAAGTAATGCATTACAATATTGCGTTACTCCATAAACAAGTAACTTAATTACGGTACTTAGTTACTTTTTATGGAAAGTAATGCGTTACATTACTTATGCGTTACATTACTTTTGCGTTACTTTTTAAATATGAGCAGGGCTTGATTGTTTTTAATATAAGAAGTTGTATTTATAGCAAATGTAAAAGCCCTTTCACACCAACAAGTGTAATGAATAAACCTCAGGCTAAAGGAAAAGTAAATTCACGTCTGTACAGTAGAACGCAGGAGAAGAAACACTCTTCAGCAATAAAAAAAACAATGAAGCACAATTGTTCGTTTATCTAAAGTCATTTTTGCTTATTAGTATGGTTGAACTGGATCATCAAAGGTCAGCAGCAAAGACATTGGTTAATAAAATGGGATTAGATACATTTGTGTTATTTGCCATATTTAATTATTGCAGGTTTGCGTCATATTCTGAGTTTGCATTTCACTGTTTTAATTCATTTTGATGAATACTAAATCTGTTTTTTGTGAGTGGGATGAATTAATGCACATTCACATTTAGTCTAGAACTACAGTAACATCATGTTCACACAGCGCACACAACTCCTCTGCACTTCCGTTTTAACGATTTTTAGAGACAGGAGACTTGTCAATCAATAAATGGGAAAGCAAAGTAACCGCGTTACTTTTTTGAAAAAGTTACTCCGATATTTCCTTGTAAATTAAAGTAATGGGTTACTTTACTAGTTACTTGAAAAAAGTAATCTGATTACGTAACTCCCAACACTGATCATTATAGCTGTGGTGTGGACTCTGCTATTCTTTAATATTGAGAACGATTTTTAGAACTACTGTATATATGTTTATCGTTATCTTTAAAGTTATCATCCTTGGTGTGAACAGGTCTTAATACTAAAATAAAAAAATCAATTTTATTTTGTCATTTAACTTGTAACTAAAGTGTCTTTTTTTTAATCTTTCTCCCTTTCTCTCTTTCTTTTCTTTTTTCTTTTTTTGATCTGGCTAGTGTTGTACTATTTGCGATGAATTTGGCTTTCGAAAACATCCATGGCAATGTACCATAAAAGAAACCGAACCCAAACCATAGTGGTTTGGATACATAATCCATCTTGGAATTCAGACTTTATTATCAGACCCTCACAATAATTTAAATTCCCATTTTATTTTCCAAGCATTAGTACCAGCTTAAATGAAGCATATTATAATTCCTTCTCTTCTCTTAGCTGAAACAAATGTGTGCTTATTCAAATCACAGAACAATTTCCTACATGACAGCAGTGGGTCACGTCGACCTACCTCTTTATAGTGGATGCCAGAGGGTTGACGGGATTCCACGCCATGCATTCCAACTGTGACGCTGCCATTTGATATAAATTATCGCTGCTGGGATTGAAAACAACAGAAATACGATTTAAGAAAATATACCGTATTGACCTGAATATAAGACAATGTTTTTTTCTTGGAAATACATCTGAAAAAACGCATTCGTCTTATATTCAGGGTCTAGACTTTGTCAATAATACACCCACAACAATAGGTGGCGCCAAATATGCATAAAACGAGTGTGCCATGAAATACGTAATGTAATGCGTGTTGTAAAGATCACAAGTAAAAACAAAAGAAAAAGAAAACCTTACAGCTGCATGAGTCGTGACTGTCATGTTAGCCTGATGGGACCAATCTCCCTTTGTGATTTTAAAACGTAAGACAGTACCCAGATTTGAAGACTACAGAAAGATTTAACTTCTACTGTTAATAAGATTTTGGTAGGCTACTATTAGATGGATAGCCTAAATGTCCTAATTCAGATTGGCTACCTGTTTTTTTTTTTTAAATGGTATATCAAAAAGTGTATATTTTTTAAATGTGATTGTTGGTACATTTGACCAGTTTTTACCATACTTTCAAAACAAAAATTAAAATAGGAAAAATATGCAATATGAAAATAATTGAAGACAAAATGTGTTTTACTGAGAAAAA